CTGTAACCAAGCTTGTATCCTGGCACGATCTCGGTATCCTTTCGATGCCACGAGATCGCCAGCAAATAAACATCGACTTGGTCCATTAATTGCCTTCTGGTATTTGGCTTCTCGGGGATTTTATGGGTTTCTTTGGTTACGTTCAACCTACGCCTTCTGATTTATTTGGCACGTGTTTCTTGGTAGCGGTGTTCATAGTTAATCTCAACTCGACGCCACGCTACAATTGGTGACCCGTATTTTGGAACACGCCTCAACTTCTGGTCAAATCTTCCAAAGAAGCCAATTCGGTGAGTCTATGATTTATCTATCCACGTCTGTCGTATATTTTCATATTTTTTAATATATAATATACTCGACATGACGGATAACGATAAGAATAGTATTAATATAATAGACTCACATGTATGTGTACCGAATCCTTGTTACTTTTTATTCGCGTGACGATGAGTTCCACACTTTATTCGAGAAATTTTCCCCTATTAACTATTCTCCTCGCTGATCCGGCTGCTTGGTACGGAATGCATTCGCATACGCATTAACGTCTACCTCCCAGCACCAAATGGTTAAGTTGAACGGTTTCACTACCAACTTAAAAGTGCTCTACGAGCACACGAGAACGACAACTGGTACGAAACCTTATCGCTCGTCCCCTTCGGTATTCGAACGAGCTTGAAGGCAGATATACAATGTTCCGCCGCTTAACTGGTATACGGCACGACATTGCGTCTGCCCGGAGAATTCTTCACACCACGGAGCAGACCTGATTTCGGTAAATCAGACTACGTCCATCGACTGTCTGTATTTATGCGAACTTTGTCTCCGGTGTCAACTCGAATATAACATCGACAGGTCGCTCTCCCTCGGGAGTTATCTACCTATCCACATGTTTTCATACGAGTAGATTCGGTACACAAACCTTGGCAACAACCTTACAAAGTCCTTTTCACGTGATCGCTCGTCACGAAAAGACCTTCAAGGTTGATCGACATGGCCGAGTCGAGATCGTCAGCGTTGATCGTCTCAAACCAGCACACGTCGATGACAGTGCCCTATCTGGTAACCTGAGATTCAATGCTTGACCTATCAAACCTAGCGGGATCCTTAAATCTTCTTCAGGTCCCACGTTAGATACATCTGAGGCCTCATTCTCACGTCCCGGTCAACAGCACGCGTCATCTGCACCGTCTACGGATGAGACGATAGTCTCACGTCCAGATCAGCAGACCACGCCGCCTCTGACCTCGGATGAGATTGCAGGCTCACGCGACACGAACGAGACTACCGTCTCACGTTCCGGTCGCCGAGTACGGTTGCCCGTACGCTCCCGCGACTAGCCGCACAGTTAACCGATACGGTGTAGGATTACTCCTATACTACACGCATGCTACACTCTTCTCTTTTTTGATTTTCTTTTTGTTTCCTGAGCCTACGCCTTCGACCATCTCCGTCTGGTTTCGTCGACTTCAGTCAACTTTGGCGAAAGCTGGATTGGCCACCCATGCTCTTGTTAACGCACTCAGTCGATATTTCGGTTTCGAATGCTTGGCATACGCTTGGTCTCGAACTTGGTCGTTACGGTCGCTTCTGGTCTTTTGGCTCAACGTGGTTTCGTCCTTCGTCTGCAGCGTTTATGGTCCGGACCCCTACGAACGCCCTCTTCAGATTCTGGATACAAACCACTCTGGTGTAGCATGCCAACTCAAGCAACAAATACAGCACATCGCTCCTGGTACCGTTCTCCGAAAACGACCTTCGTTGGCAACTCGACGATCAACGATCGCTTTCCTGTTCGCCAATTCTTCCGTCCTACAATCGCTCGTCAGCCGATCAGTCCCACGATTTAAACCGCTATTTATCGAAAGTGTAAACCCTTTCTAGCGGGGGGCTCCTGTAGTGACTCACATTTACCACGAGAACACGACTGGTTTAATAAAAACAATTATTATTATAACCAACTGTACCAGTGTTTGTTTTAACGTGCTTTTGTTTGACTGTGCTAATGACAGCTATTTTGTGCTTCCATTCTTTTACTTACACTTTTGATTGTAACTTCGCGCGAATTAGGTTACGTTCTGTAACCAAGCTTGTATCCTGGCACGATCTCGGTATCCTTTCGATGCCACGAGATCGCCAGCAAATAAACATCGACTTGGTCCATTAATTGCCTTCTGGTATTTGGCTTCTCGGGGATTTTATGGGTTTCTTTGGTTACGTTCAACCTACGCCTTCTGATTTATTTGGCACGTGTTTCTTGGTAGCGGTGTTCATAGTTAATCTCAACTCGACGCCACGCTACAAGTTGGAACGAAGGTGGGGGCATGGTCTTAATCTTAAATGCCTTAGGAGTCTGTTCGGTCATAGAGGAATATTAAGTACGAGAATACACGAGCTAAAAATATATAGATATCCAAAAACGCAGAGTAAACAATATCACAATGTATAAATAATAAAAGTAAGGCAATAATATATTAAAATCCCTAAAAGGAACAGACTCACAGTTGCAATTAGATATACCAGATCACATCGGGCTCACCAATGAAGATGGCACAGGTAATCAGTGTTTGACAACGTTTTTACCAGCAACACCTAATATAATTCGTACCCTCCAAGAGAAATCAAGAAACGGAGTCGAAGAGATAGGATGAGTGTATTTAGCGGTAATTAATATATCGGAATTCTCTGATCTAATCTGGCTAGCGATTGTGGTAGATGTTGAGCACAGCTTCACCATACGTGATCAGGTGCGGATGCCTGACCGAGCGCCTTCAGCTAAGTGAGTCCATTAAAACATGTGGTCAGCGTCAAATGTGGAAAACTTAGAGAGCTATTTATTTTGTAGATTTACCGCTACAGTCTGAATAACACCTTTACTACTCGACTGAGAGAATCTAGAATTTCAATGGTATATAATTCACATAGCTTTCACGGTATACTAGTACACCAGATGATATTTATTAGAAGGCTTGTTGGCAACATTGATAGGTGAACAAAGAGACGTCCTAGTATGCAGTGGCTCAGTTTAGTGCTGGAAATGGCAACGATTACAACACTTACATGACATTATTAAAAATCAACTTTCGAGACAATGGATTTACTATTTGGCATTCGTAACATGAAAACCTACAATACTATTGTAGCGTGGCGTCGAGTCGAGATTGACTATGAACACCGCTACACATAAACACGTGCCAAATAAATCGATAAAATCCCCGGAAAGCCAAATATCAGCAGGGCAGTTAATGGACCAAGTCGAGATATATTTGCTGGCGATCTCGAATTCGAGCGAAGTCACAATCAAAGTGTAAGAATAATGGATGTTTTTAGCACAGTTAAACAAAAGCTCATTAAAACAAGCTTCGGTACAGTTGGTTATAATAATAATTGTTTTCATTAAACCAGTCGTGTTCTCGTGATAAAAGTGAGTCACTTCACTATCAACTTATCACATTCTTCCACGGTGGTAAACTGTGAAGAATTTAATCCCGTTCACTGAACTAACATAAACAATACAAATGTAGTAAAAACGGAATACCAAGTCGGTTTAAGCAATAGAAACTCTGAAAAACCGTAAACTGAGCGAAGCGAATCGCATTACAAAACGCGGTATTCATACTAGGTTATAGTAGTGCTAGAAATATGCACATCACACCATAAATGCCCAGGCATGATTGGTTGCCAGTGTGGATGGCGGGATTATGACATATCCTCACCCGCTAGTTTTGGTTGTGGTATGGCTCCAGTGACCATTGGTACAAGCTTCTGAAGGCTAATTTTAGTCTCTTAAAGTCACTGGCGAGGTATAGTCTTAGTGTTATTCTTCTGATACTCAATTTTAATATTTGTCTATTGCATGTTCGTTTGCCAAGTAATTAAAGATAACAAAGTTAAAAAGGCGAAAGATTTGTCCGCAAATGAGGAGACACCAGAGTTATGGTTTCTCCTCCTGCTTCGGTTTGGGCACCCGGGCAGTATAACAGCCCTCACACATATCAAATGAGATTTGTATGGCACATATGTTTTTGGTACCTCCCTGTACCAATATCTATGTGTTAAAATAAATAAAATGAATAACAAAGTTAAGACTTCATTGAATCTTATTTAATACTCATATAAAAATTATGTTAGATCCATAGATATCTGTGGATCATTATATAAATATGTTTTCACGAAGTATGTTTGTGTGTAAACCACAGCCAACTGAAAAGCAACAGATACCGAGAGCTTCCAGGTCTTATAAAACCTGCTCATATATGAGCGTTTTGTAAGACCTGGAACTCAAATGAGGATATATTTAGGATATTTTAAATACATCAGATCACACTTTATACGAAATTTATGTAGGCATTCCTTGTTTCAAACAGGAAAATATGCTAGAACGGATTGTAAAGTTAATTACCAGAATTATGAAGGATATAGCTAATCAGTATAGCCGTGGCTATACCCAGATTACATGCATGTACTTTGGGTTGTTCTGTTCAGTTGTCTCTACATACTATTACGTCAGCCTCATCCTACAATTCACGTTTTTTCTTATGCACTTAATAATTTAATCTTTTTTTGGTTCTGGTAGGTTCAGCAACTTGAAGTGCAGTATTATTCTGTGGCTCTCTACCTTCATAATATACGTTTGTCACGTTGCTTGTTTCTTGAAGCTCTATGCTTTTTGACAAATTTATAACCTTCAACTTAAGCTCACTAAAAATGCTTGTGTAACCTGTCATTAATATAAGAATTCATTTCCAACTCTTCCTTCAGTTACTGTTATTACTGATAAACAACGGTTTGTCCTTTGAGATTTTTGAAGGATCAATACAAGAACTGCACGTTTTCACATATAAAAACAGTCTACTTTAGTTGAGACCCAGATCCAAAGGGAAAATCAGTTCACCATTTCTGTTCAATAAGATTTGTAGTACTATATTCATTCTGTTTATTTATTTCATTTTAGAATCACTGCATGAACTGAACAATTGTTAGCAATAATAAAGAATAACTGTATGGTGAAGTCAAGTGTAGCATTATTGTGCAAAAGTACTTCAGCGTTGAAGAGACGTAAAATCTATGAGACATCTGAGAAGTGCTTAAAACAGATTACACATTTATACCTAAATGGTAAAAATCTAGATGAACTGGTAAGATTCTCGAAAATATTATCATAATACTTCATGTGTACTATGTTGGTTTTTGTTTCTACTCCTAGTTATTTTCCTCATTGCTCGTTTTCTCGCTTTCTTTCATATCCAGGGTCAGGAAATCGCTCTGTGTCAGTGCCTAACTGTTCTCTACCTGTATGACAATAAGTTGAAATCTATACCAGAATACTTAAACTTAACCCAGTTGACACATTTATATCTTCAAAATAATCGCATAAGTCGTATGGGAAACTTGAACTCATTAGAGAAGTTAGAAAAGCTGTAAGTTGAAAAATATTTTCATTCTTCTCCTTTCATAAAGTTTCCTCAGCCGAAATTGTATCAGTATAATTGAAGGCTTGGAAGGATTAATCAGACTGCAAGAATTACGCATTGACAACCAAAATTTGAATCCAGGCGAAAGTCTAGTCTTTGATGATCGTAGTCTGAATTCTGTAGCAGTAATGGTCTTGTTATTATTACTTTGTTTGTTATAACCATTCAAAAAATTGCTTTAGATATAATGTAATATCTGTTTGTTAATCTGACGAGCTAATTGCCTGACTGATAAACCTAACAGCAGCATTTAAGATTAACAGCAGTAAGAAAAAATATGATCTATTTTGTTAGGGAGATTCATTTAAACCTGTTTTTAAGATTTTTCAACCCCCTTTATATAATACCTTAACTCTCAAAAAATATTTGTAATTTTAAAGGTTGTTATTAGACCTCATAGGTTTATTTTACCTTAACTTCCTCATCAAACAATGGGATGCAAACGAGTACCACAGCTGACTAGCCTCTGTTGTTTCAAGTTTATTGGTAAAATCCGGTTTTTAAGAGGACCATGAAATTATTGGAAGTCACAGACAGCAATTAACTTATTTGATTTTCCAGATTCCTGAACACTACAGAAGACCGCATTCACTAAAGATATCAGAGTGAATATGAAAGATAAATGAAGATATTAGGAATGTGGTTGTAGATAATTTGCTCACAGTTCTCAAGCTTGTAAAGTATAAGTGTATCTGGATTGTTGTGACTCATTCTCGCTATAGATTTCGAAGAAAAGACAGAACATCTATTTCACTTTTTATCAAGTTCCTTAGTAAGGTTTTTATGTTAAGCGGTTAAAATTCCTTGGTTAGATAACTGTTGTTTAATTTTGAGACGATCCCAGCTGAATAATCTGTTTCTAATTTTGACTTTCTACTTTCCCCCTAATCTCTTATCATGTAACCATTTCCGTGTAAAAAATATCCCAACTTAATAGAATAGTCTTATATGCTTGGATGTGTCAGGTAACAAACTGGACACCCTACAAGATTTGAGTAACCTTCATGCCTTAATCTCTTTGAATGTATCGAATAATTCCATACGATCTATCCATGATCTATCTACATCACTGAATAAATGGTCAAACCTTAAAGAGTTCTATATAAAAGGCAATCCTGTCATGAAAACAACTCGAGCGAGAGATATCATCATTGTAACTGCAAAACGTCTAGGTAAGTTGTTTTCAGTGGATACTACTTTCAATCACATTAACGCGTTTAGTTTGATATTTGTGCTATGTGAATTTCATCTGAATTTAAAGTTGGTTTTTGTGAAATAGCAGTATCATTCAATTGCTTACTTAATTACCTAATCTTGCTACCCATCCTCAGGTATAGCCTACTGGATGGTGATCACCAACTCTATCATGGACTCTCCATTCCAGTTGTTGCTAAGTGGCATCGATAGTCTTGTTGTATGCGTCAAAGTTCTGGTGCCATGTGTTCTTTAGTCTGTCTCTTTCTTTAGGCTTGGGGATGCTTATTCAGGACTCGCCTTGTAATGTTGAGTACTTTCCGTGAAATGTGTTCTACCCAACTCCAGCGTCTTTTCTTAAATCCTCCTTATCTGGCAGCTGGTTGGGTTTCTATCATAGTCGGTTACTGCTGATGGTTGCCGGCCAATCGACTTGGAGTATCTTGTTTGGACAGTTGTTTATGAATGCTTATACATTTGTGATAATGATAGTGGTAGTTTTTTAAGTTTCAGCTCTGTACAGTTGAACTATTTTAACGTTAGTGTTGAAAATTCTGCCTTTGGACGTGGATCACAGTCTTGAGTTTCAGATATTCTTCGAATTCATGAATGCTGCACTTGCTTTATCAATTTGTGACTTAACATCCTTATCAGGTCCTTCTTGTTTACTACTGATGCTACCCAAGTACATAAAATCTTCCACTTCTTTCAGAGCTTCACTATCAAGTGACGTAGTGCTTGCTGTATACGTACTTTAGAGTTTCTCTTTTTCTCTTGTGAATGTTCAGACCTATTTATAATGAAGCCACTGCTAAAGTAGCTGTTTTTGCCTGTTTGCTGCATAAGTGTTAAGTCATCTTCAAAGTCTGTTATCCAGCTGTGTCCAAGGTGTCCACTGGTTCTGTGCTTTTCCCGAGCTGCAAAGGTATCCACAATCCAGTAAATAGCTAGCAAAAGGGAAAAAATTGGAGTGGGTACCATCATTTCACTCCAGTTCTCATTTGGAAAGAGTTTGTGAGCTGTTCTACATGGGAAAATCTTGTGATTCAACCTCTTGTAGGAGTTCCGTCTGATGCTACGAATCTTTTCAGGTACTCTATAGTGTCGAATATTTCATAGGGTGCTTCTATTCAAGCTGTTGAATAATTTCTAATAATCAAGGAAGGTAATGTATAGTGATGAGTTATATTCAGTTGATTGTTCTCAGTTTAATTGGCACATGACCAATCCTTATGAAAGCGTGTTTGTTGATCTCGATGTTGGACGTCCACTGAATTCTCCATTCAGTTCAGTAACGTTAAAAACTTCATCCTGTACTGATATTAGTATGGTGTTTCTGTAGTTGACACACTCACTAAGATCTTTCTTCGATATCTCACTAATGTATTCCTGTTTGTTGGTACTTGTTCTTCATCCCAAATAGTTATGAAGCGAACATGGAATATCTTTAAAGTTGTCTCTATATCCTACCTCATTGTTTTAGATGATATGCTGCTTAGTCCACCTGCTTTTTCACTCCTGATTTGCCGAAAGGCCTTGATAATTCCTCGGATGTCCAATGGTTTTAGCACCCGTGGTGTGTTAACGAGCTGTCTATCCACCTGTTCAGACACTCTTTAACCTCAGTGATTGGTTTCTCGTCTTTACCATAATTCCCTGCTACTTTGTTGACTATCATTTAGTTCTTCCATATTTCCTTCTCTTGTAAATTGTCTTGCTGTAGTTGCCAGGTTTTCTACATATTTCTGTTTGTCAGCTTTAATCCTCTTCAGTCGTTTGTGTACTTCTGTAGATTATGCCCGTGTCCTGGCTGTCTTCTCTTTTGTCTCTGTATATTCGGCTGTGCCCAGAGTTTCATTCTCTGTACTATTGCTTCTTATGACCCAGGACCTCATAACATGTTAAAGTTATCGCTTCTCTAATCCTTTTCAGTTACTCTCCGTATGTTTCCTCTTCCTCCGGTAGATATAGTAATACGTAGGACTTGTCGGTGACAGTTACCTTGATCCAGCTGACCTTGTCGGCATCCGAAAAGAAGGGTATATTAAAATTTTGTAATGCTTCTTCTACTGTCGAATGTTTTATAGCTTGGACACCACCAGGTGGTCAGGTTTCGGGTTATCTAAGGCAACATTAGCTCCCTTCTTTTGGCTGGAACACATGTTCCTGTAGGTCGTACCATGCCAGGCACATTGGTTGGGGAACAGTTAGACTAAGAGCAGTAACTTAAGGTCCAGAGGCAAATTTGTACTGTCGGCTGTAAATGAGTGTGACGACAGTAAGATGTTTCTCTTGGAAAACCTCTATCTGCAGCGACGTTACCTTCCTACAACAGAAGGAATAGGGTCGAAAATGTCGGTCTTGAAAATTTCGCACCTCATCTTAACCCACGAATTTCCGTCTCTGAGGTTAAGGCCTTTTAAAGTGCGGAGCTGATCAAACGAAAGTTTTTCAAAAAGACTGTGTGTGGCCGGCCTCAAGCATTTCCCCCTTGGACTCTGCAATCACACTTCCAAGTCACTAAGACTACCACCAATCCGGGCTCTTTTTCAGGTCCCTCTACGGCGTAGAGAGCCGGAAAGTGACAACCGCCTTCATGCCTCCAATGGCACCCGAGGTCATCATGTTGACGATCGAATCCCTCTCCTACCTCTTAAAAGTTCCTCCACCCCATGAACAACTCTTTCCACGTATCTCTATCACCACACGCCATCAATGCTAATGACTCGAGTCCACGAAATGTTATTTCCGGTCTCCTGAATCCACACGCTAAACTACACATTGTAGCTTTTAATGTTCGAACCTTGTGTCAAGTGGGAGCACGGGCTTCTTTGGCTAGGACTCTAGAATCTCGCGCCGTTTATGTGTGCTGCGTCTTCGAAATGCGCGAACAATATCCAATTACTCTCATTCATTCGACCTCACCTTGCCAATATAAAGAACTGGCACTACTTACACTTCGGGTATCTGAAGACCTCACTGCTACTTTCTGGGGCGTTAAATTTAATAGCAGAACCCAATATCTTCAATCAACCTGAATGGCAAACTGATGTAAGTCCTCCGACTCTTAGTGAGCCTTAAAAGGCTATAAGCAATCTAATGCGAGGAAAAGCAGCAGAGCCTGATGGATTAATCCCTGAGAATCTTAAGGATAGTAGTCCAGCTTCAGCAGTTACATTAACTGAGATCTTAGCTAAAATCTGGGAACTGGATGTTGTCTCATCTGACTGGTCTCGATCTCTGATCATCCCAGTCTATAAGAAAAGGACAAAAATCCTCTTGCAACAATTACAGAGGAATCAGTTTAACCAATAGTGTCTGAAGTATTGGCCTCAATAATACTTCGACGTCTTACTAGAGCTCGTGAAGGGTGAACCCGAGAAAACCAGACTGGTTTCAAACCTGGATGTGAATGTGTGGACCAAATATTCACCCTTCAGCAGATCCTGGGATACAGAAATACTTTTAGACGTCCGATTATAGTTGTATTTCTTGACCTTAAGGCAATGTTCGACTCGGTTGATCGTGAGGTTTTGTGGCAGTGTCTGTCATTGAGAGGCGTACCAGATAAGTGCATTATCCTTGTACGGGCTCCCTACCTGGACACCTTTGGTCGAGTCAGAGTCTATGACAAACTCATCGGAATCGGTTACTCCATGTGGCGTTCATCGAGGTTATCCGCCTTCCCCATTCTTATTTAACTTTATCATAGACATAATTTTAGAGATAACACTTTAATCATCCGACTTTTCAGGAGATTCACTTTTAGACTTGGGATACTCAGATGATACAGTTCTGTCCAGTGAGGACGCTGACAAAATGTAATCGTCCTACCACCTCAAGCTATAGTACAATCATTTTCGGGATATGGTCGCAATACAACCACTATCTTCAAAGTTTATGTAAGGACTGTCAATGAATGAATAGAGGAACATATAGATAAAAACTCGGCGAAGCTTATCACGCAATTAGTTTAGGCAGATTCTGTGCGTCCAATTTACTCATGACACGGAACAGTTGAACGAATTGTTGGGAACAAATGATATCGGTTCGTGAAGTGTTCCTTAACTTCTCAAAAGCCTTCGACAACTCGGCGCAATCATCCTAGAATTGTTCCTTACTCTCTTTCTATAACGTGTGCACGATGCTACCCGGAAATCCGCAACGCTGTCGCGTCCTCTATCATCAAAAGTGACACAATTCTGTTAGATTAAGTAGGGGCGGGTAACTAGTATGTGACAGGGCTGAAGGATAAGTCTTACGGAAACAGACTGTAAAATTTTTGATTATTCTCGTCGAGCTTTAAGAAGGTTCCGTTGGCTTTTACCAACGGGCTTCAATTTTGACGTAGAGGAGACATCTTTCTTCCATCCAAGGGGCGAGTTTACTGCGTGACAGTGTGCTGCTTCCTACGTTGTGGCTATTAAACATGGTTAATAATAGTATAGGGTATCCGTAGGTTTCTGGTACTCGATCATATGTGTCTACACAGCATTACTCGTGTATTTTGCGTTAGGAATAGAGTCCTAAGTAAGGGTGGGGAATCAGTTAATAATGTAGTAAATGTCCATCAACTGATGTGGTCGAAATGTGATGTGCTTGCCAAACCATTGCCTACATTGATGGGAGGTTTTTTCTTGTGCAGGATTAGGCTGGAGGAAAGCTAGGGGCGACCGAAGCAAATCATAGCATTAGTCCATGAAGTCACTGACACTTGGACTTAGCCATGCTAATAGGTACAGACTACCTGGTTGGGGTGAGTGTGATCATCGTAACCAATGATTAGAGACTTTGACATGGGTCAGAATCTTTTACAGTCGCTCAGGTACATCCATTCATTGTCTTCCTCCAAATTCTGAGATTCTAAATTCGCCATAACATTCTTTGGTTTTTATCTCAATAATTTGTATTTTTCCCCAGTTGTATCTTCAGTGCCTGATCTTTCCTATTACTACTGATACTGTTACTACCTCTAATA